CCTCAGTCAACACCAAGATTCGAGCTAATTAGAAACCAGAACCTTAGGCAGTATACAACATAAACCATACTATGCAAATGTAAGCATTCTAAGTGCCACTGGCCACCAGTGCCAGTCAAGCAAGAGGTGTTTTTGGATAGCAGCTACAAATATCAGGGCACTGGAAAATGCCACAGGATATATTGATGACGTGGAGTGAGGTAGAAAGTGCAAACATGGTGTCAATGGGCCTCAGAAAGCATCTCTATGGGCCTCTAAATATGTTCCAAATCAGAAGGCTGCCCCTCAGGCTAATTCTGCAGGACAGGCCTTTTACACAGACTAGGTGTGTGTTTCTCTTTGCTATCTCTGTTGCACCTTGGACTGTAACAGTCAGAGAGTGTTCTTGGCTGAGTACCAAGAACACTCTGACTGTTACAGTCCTATGGGAACCAGGAAATCGAGCCCAGTAGGCCATCAGAGCCAGGTGATACAGAGGCATCCCCTGGGTGGTGTTCATAGAAACCATGGCACCAGATGCATATGCATCGCCCCTCTGGAAGATAATGGCATTATGGAGTGCAGCAAAGGAAGCCAGCGCCTGCCTCCAATGCAGGTCTCTAGAGGGAAATTCAGTCAGCCCTTAGAAGTGTGTCTAATTAGAAATCTGCCTCTCAGGACACAGCTATGATGATAAACTACTAGAGTTCTTTAACAGAAAGACTGGTGGTATGTTCTAGTTTGCTATATGTGCTTTGCCCTGGAAGTGGTATCAACCAAGGACTGTCTGAGTGACACCTTCCTATGAGATTCAGGAATGCAAATATAGCTGCCTAACAAGGCCCGGTGATCAAGGCTCATCCTCTGGGCTGTAGTCACAAATACCAGGACACCAGATATAAAAACTCAGGTACACGTGTATAAGCCCCCCTCTGGGAGTTACTGCTGCTCAGAACCACACAAAGGGAGAACACAAAGGTAACCCTCCAAGGTCTCTGGAGAGAATTATAGGCAGCCTGTAGAAGTGTTTAGTTAGAAGCCTGACCCTCAGGCAGGCAGCACTGTGCAGATAAGCTTAGAGTCTCTTTCTCAGACAACCAGTCACCAGTCTGTTGCATCTTTGCTTTGTTTGGGGTATGCTTGCTGGTTTAGAAACTTCTGTTTTTATAGTCCTAGGGTCCCATGAGTGGAATGTGTCAACTCTGATAGTCACTATAGCCTGGCAATAAAATATTTACCCTAGTTGGCAGGTTAAAAATTCAGGGTGCCCCATGAAGATCCAAGCACCCTTCCTAGAGATACCTGCGATCTGCAGCAAGGAAGAGAGCAAAGATGATTCTAGCCTCTGTCCCAAGAGAATCAGTTCGTGAACCCCTATATGTGCATAAAATTAGATCGCTGCTCCACATACTGATGCTTTTAAGATAAGCAAATAAGCCTCTTCCACAGAAAATCCAGTGCATTTCAGTTGACTACCTCAAGTGCAGGATCCTAAGAAGTGTGAATGCTTCATACAAATCCTTTATGAACAATTTGTCTATTTTCACACTATCCTTGTAAGTCTTAGGGACACAAGTCCTGTCACCTTTCAAAGCTAGATCTTTGAGGACTCATGTCCCAGATGTAGGTCTTAAAATTTGGGGTCCCTCATATGGGGTCCTCAGTCTCACTCTTTGGAGAGATGTTGGGGTTTTAAATTCCTTCCCAGTTGTATGTACCCAAACAAGGGGTGGCAGGATTTTATTTCACCTTCTCCTGCCCACTTCTACATGGATTTTTCCCCCTCATTTCTCTGATGTGCATGAGTCACTCAGCTAGTTAATGATTCTCCCAGAGGAAATTGTTCTTCCTGTAGCTAAAGATTCTGGGTACACGTGGAAAGGTGAGTTTGGGATCTTCCTGTCACTGTCCTGAACAGAAAACTTGACTCCTTTTATTAATTTGCTATATTGTCTCATTGTCTAAGTAAATAATACATGCACATTATTTCACTCAATACATCTTTACTGAATGTCCAGTGTGTATCACTGTTTCTCTTAAGGATGCATCACTGAACAAGAAAAGACACCATAAACATGTAAGATCATCACCCAATAGAGATAACTTGGCAGAAATTTATATAAAATGATGAAACAGTGTGACATTAGATTGGGTAGTCAGAAGATTTCTAACACATGGTGCTGAGAATAGATCAGTTTTGCCAATGTTAAGATACAACATTAAAGGTTGAGAGAATTCAAGCAATGAAAGAATAGAATCAGTACAGCTGGAACAGATCAGTAGCAGAAGATGGACTAATAAGAGGGGGTTGAGAAACATACAAGCAGGACTTCATGAGTAGGGAGAGACATAAGGATTTTCTACATGTAAAACTCTAAGGAGTTTAAAGGTTTTACACAAGGGAATGTTGTCATGGAAGTATTAGCAACACCAAGATTGGTTATTGGCAAAAGAATGTTTATAGAATGAATGGAAACTCTGACTATTGGAGTGTCCAGAAGCATTGATACTTCAGCCAGGTCTCCTCAATGCTGTAAGAATATTCAGGGACAAAGTATGTCTTTGGAAGATATTTGGTATGGTATCTTGTACACATTGACTATCTGAATCATTGTTATTATGGATGCCAAGAGATGATTCCAGGTACAGAGTATGTGTTGCATGTAGGTGGTGTCCAAATGTGCCTGTTGCCAGACCACATGACAATTATCTCATTGTTGATATTGGAAAATGATCTTGTTTCTCCCTCCTCCTCTTTTCCTCATCATATGGTCATAGATAAGAAAATAAGCATAATGATATTCCTCAAAGACAGAACTTTTGGGTTTCTGGTTCAGTCCTGTTGCAAAATTATGTGAATTTAACTGATAAGAGGTATGATTGAGCTAGCTTCAATACAGCTATATGGTCAGATTTAGGCCATGAATCAAGTAAGTTTGAATAAGAGGATGTGATAGGTTTTAGAGTAATGGAAAAAAGACAATGATCCAAAACTTTAAAAACTTTTACTTAGGTTTCATTATAGACAAATATTTGTTTTGTATTTAATGGTGCTGACATTAGGGGAAATTTCAGGAGGAGGCATTTTAATTATCTTTTTTTTAAAGTTAATAAAGAGAAGAAGGAAAGATATTCCTAGGAGACTTAAGTGATACAAATATGCTTACAATTGTTAATACTACTTGATCCTGTTATATTAAAAGAAAAAGCAAAGAAATGACAAACTGAAAGGTAATTCGGGTCACTTAGTCTACCCCTCTGACTGATAGAACCCAAATCTTCTTATAAATAATTTTAGTCATGTGCCACCTCCTCTTTTTCTTACTTTTCACATAAAATTCAGTAGAGAATGACTGAATACCCATTCCAAAGCAAAGACAAACATTAAATAAGTATACGCTTCTGTCTTGGAAAGGTAACAGTGAAAGAGTTAGAAACTTCAAATTATTTCAATATAAAGTGGTTTGGAACTTCTATATTAAAAAAAAAAAAAAAACTATTATACTCTGCCTTCCATTATTTCCATAGTGCATAGCAAATAGGCCTCTGGTTCCCCACTAATAGATTTCCTCTTGCAAAAGACATCAATGATCTTCTGGATACTGGAAACATAAGAAAATTTACAGTCTGTATAGTAGTATTGTACATAGTACAGTATAGAACCATTCTACTGTGCTTTACCCAGTGTTTATTCCTATCTTTAAATTTTCCATTTCCTTGGTGTTTTGTGCATATTCTATAGTTTTGTTTGTTTACACATAATTCTTCCTTGTTTCCTTCTTAGTTTTCTAGTTCCTTTTTTCTCCCCCTTAATCTTGGAACCTGACCCTCTGCTCATTGTAATCTATTTTCTACTCCTTTGTGACCTGGTACATGATGTCCTTCCTCTTGAGGGCTCCAAAATCCTCACCTCTAGCATCTCTTCAATTTAACATGGTTACTACAATCTTAGCAATGGGTAAAAGATGAATTTTGCTTAAAGCTATTAGTTTTTAAAATATTTATTCCTTAGTCATCAGGCAATACAAAGTATATGAGGTATTAGCATCAAGTATATTTATTTTCACTTTACTTCTTTAAGAGGCAGGGGCATACAGTGAATTTAGTATATGTATATACAGACACTTAATAGACTTCTCATTACATAATGAAAATTAATACTGAATCTAATCCTATGAATAGAAGACTATTAGGCAAATACGCTCTCTTAGAAGTTAACCTCTTGGGCCTCCCTGGTGGCGCAGTGGTTGAGCGCTGGGCTGCGAAGCTGCCTGCAGACTGCAGCGCTGGTTCAATCCCCAGCCACCAGGTAAGGGTCCCACATGGTGTGCAGACCTCGCCTGCGGCCCACTGCTCCCCTCAGCAATGTACTTCGTCAGTCTGCCTGCTCTGCTCTCCGCTCTGGCTCTGGTGAATTTGCTCACCCTCCCGCGCTTCTGACTGTACCCAGTGCTTGTATAAATAAATAAATCTTAAAAAAAAAAAAGTTAACCTCTCATCTTAAAAGTTACCTCTGCCTGGTACATTTGTAGTGTTTAAAATGGACAGTCTTCTTATATGGTAGAAGGAACAATTTACTTTGAATGAATGAAAATTTGCCTTAGAAACAGAACTCTGATTTTACAACTGTATTGAGCTTAATATCAGCTCATGAAGGTGCCATTGCAATAACATTCTCTTAGGAAAAAATCCTAAGTATTTGTTTCAAACAAAATGGATAACAATTTAAGTTAAGGAATATAAAAAAAGGCCTAATGAGAAGGCAAATAGACTGATGATTGTTATTTGTCTTTGCATTAGACATCATTCCATATTCAGAACATTTGAAACTCTAAGTGGATTTCAATTTTTTTATTGATCATTTAATTTATCCCCTACACTACAAACATTATTGTATAGCTGCTATCAGCCATAATCAGAATGTGACATCAGCTACTGTGACAAGTGATAGAGGCCCATCACTGGAAGTGCTAGCTGTCAGCACTGAGGCTACAACAGACATTCAGGGGGCAATATCTCACCTGCAGATGTTTGTTTGGCCTGTTTAGGTCACCACTTCCTATTCCTTGTCCCTGTCTAAGCCATGTACCATCTTGTTTACAATCTCCAGTCATGTTTATTTAGTCTTTATCTGGGCTGAAACATAACCTGAAAAAAAAAAAAAAATTAGGAGCCTAAATACTAATATGAAAGAAAACGATGAAAATGATTAAGTAGGCATCCTTATCCATTAACTTACCTAGTGAGTAAATCTGAGAGAAAAGAGATGGGCTTTTCAATTAGTACATTTGAAACAGTAAAAATGAATGAAATTATGAAGGTAGCAGTGAATTTGTATTTTTTTCCTTAATACACAAAACTTTTGTTTTAATTTTTAGTAACAGAATGTGTAATGCTGATAAAAGAGGAGTTACTATAGTGAGATAAATAGGGGAATACATGGCAATGTGTGGAGTCTAGAAACCACAGAAAGGGGAAAAGTTCAAGAAAGACGCTCTTAAGGAAATAACTTTTAATGTGAACATAAAGACGACCCAGGAAGAAAAAGTTTGAAAGTGAATATTCAGTGTAATAGAAATCCCAGAAGTTTGCATCAGAGATAGTTCATGTGATCTGTCAAGGGCAATTAAAATAAAAAAAAAAAAAAGACTGCTGAATTTAGTCATTTCTTTATATAAGAGAAAATTAAATAGAGAAAAGTCACACAGAAATGTTTCTACAAGTAAAAGTAGTAAAAAAAGCAAAATTCTGATAGACTATGGAAGAATTTTATTGGTAGCAGCGTGAAGAAAGAGTAAGATGAAAGTTTTTTTTTTTTTTATTAGTACATTTATACCTTGTGGGAAAGGGAAAATACCTGGAGCATTAACATTATAGAAAAAAATTGGTGACATTAGGCGTAGTAGGATCTTAGGTGAGAGTTTATGGGATAAAGAAAGCATAAATAGTGATTTATACTCAGCACAGACATCCTTCCATATATGGAAGAAAGGAATGATAATTTGAAAATTTGGAATTCACATTGGATAACCTTTATTTTTCATGATACCTAAAAATTATTGCAGAAGAGTAGGTATAGACTGAATAAAGGCCAAAGAGAACAGTTAAACTATTGAAAAACAGGTGAGAAAAGCCCAAAAACAAATTATCTAGGATCAAATTAAAAGACAGAATTGCTATAATACGCTGAGGATCTAGTTATTGCACTATTGACATCATTTCCCCAATTATATTTTCTCATTGGTAAAACAGTGATAACTATTCTGATTTTTAAATGATAGAACTTTTGTGCCAAGATATTTCATGTGCCTTGGGGTGCTGACACAATCCAGAAGTTATAATTCTATTCAGATATAAATCAGTCTATAAGTATTTCAGGATCAATTTTAGATCATTTTCTTCTGTAGTTCTTACCTGGAATTCACAACAAAAATAGGATAGATCCAAAATAGTCATATCCTGGCTAGGCTTTGTGATAACTTTGGATCAATTTCATTTGACAGCTGGGATGGATCCACTGTGAAAAATCGCTGTACAAAGATTTGATTTATATGAAAAAAGAGCACTTTATCTGGAGTGAATTTTATGGTCAATAGCTCCCTAATCTCCAGCTGTTACACAATCCAAGATTGTCACATTTTTTATTTTTATTTTTTTTTTTTTTTATAGAGGCATGCTTTATTTATTTGTTTTGCTGGTTTGTTTGTTTGTTTTGTTTATACATGCACTGGGTACAGTCAGAAGCGCGGGAGGGTGAGAGAATTCACCAGAGCCAGAGCGGGGAGCAGAGCAGGCAGAAGGACCGAGGTACACTGCTAAGGGGAGCAGCGGGCGGCAGGAGAGGTCTGCGCACCATGTGGGACCCTCGCCGGCGGACGGGGAGCAGCCGGGGATCGAACCGGCGCCGCAGAGGCCGCGGGCAGCTTCGCAACCCAGCGCTCAACCGCTGCGCCACCGGGGAGGCCCAGATTGTCACATTTTTTAGAAGCTGAGTTTCAAAAAGGTAAAGTTAATATGTGAATCCGTGTCTCTATTTATAATGTTGGCCATCTTGAAATCACTAAAATCCTACAAAATACAAATACTTATGGTTAGATTAGGTCTTTCAGCAAACTATAACTATACATTGCCAGATTAAAATTATTACAGTTCCCCACAGCTATGAAAATGGGCTCACCTTCAGATATATCAATGGCTGCTGCAGATCTGCTGGGACACACACTTTAATTTTCTCAGACCTGAATATGCATGCTCTGAGCTACTTTTGTGGCTTGTCTGCCTTTAACGTGAGCATATAGCACATATTTACAAAAGGCCTTGCTTATGAGTCACATCCATGATCATAAAGATTTTTTTTTTAATTCAAAGTTAAATAATCTTTACATGGATCTCTGACCTTGGCCTCATTACAGCAGTCTTTAACCTGCTGAGAATTTTTATTTCAGGCTATAATTATTAATGTCTTTCTTGCAGGAAATTTCTCAATCACCATTTTAATTGTTACAAATTTCATACGGCTATTTTAATTTTTTAAATTTATTCCCTTTCTGCTTCTCCAATCAGATAAGATTATTTAACTTGTACCTTCACCCTAATATTAAGAGAGCCTTGATTCACCCACTTTTTTCCACAAATTTACCTGAATTTTCTGCCAGTTACCAGTGTCAGGGAGATATCTAATTGCCATAAATGCCAATCTTCTCAGAGCCTGAATTACAACCCTCCTAATATTCCCAATTCCATCATTACTATTGTGGGGGGAAAAAAAAAACCAGAACATTAAATTACATTAAAGTGAAGTTTTGCCAAGCTCTTAAACCAGAGTTCTGCAGCTATAGATTTGTGGGTTAATGATGAGAGAAATAAGGTGAATTTAAGCAAAATATAAATTACATTCATGTCTAGATGGTAACATAAAAACTGACAGTGGCCAGAATCTTATGGGTTATGTTAGAGAACTTGGAAAGCAATAGAAGAGCAGAATTCGAAAAATAACGTGATTTAAATTTCTATAAGATTATTATGAAAGTCCTGTAAATCACGGATTGCAATTCATAAATACTTGCAATAACATCTTGACTGGGGAAAAAATTCCCCAAAATAGATAGCATAATCCTCTATAAAATTGAAACAAAATGACCCTTTTTTACAAAGTGTGATTAAACATAGTATTTTGGGGGCTATACCACCTAGGTTTAAAATGAAAACAAATTACAGATACACCCAATATTCAGGGTAGTGGCAACCTGAGAGAGAGACAGATATGGTGTAGGGGAGGAGTCTATAGGTAGATACAGCAGTTTTGGTATTGTCTAATTTTGCTGTCAATTCATTGTTCATTATATTTTGATGTCAGAATTTGTAAGTTAGTAACCTTTCAAATATTAATTTTACATGGAATGGATTGGTGAGAAATGGCAACAGTAGAGGGTAAAGAAACCTGTTGGAGGCTAATTCCCTTGGTGTTGACTGGATGGAGTAGAGAAGGGGAGAAAAATGGTTAAGGGTAGCTCCTAAGGTTCTGGCTCTAACAACAGGAGGCAGGAGTGTCTCCCTTTTTTGAGATGGAGAAGATAAAAAGAGGACTGGAAAAACAAATTATTCAGTTTTGACCATTTTGAATGTGACATTGTAATCCTCAGGTGGTGTGAAGCAGGCAGCAGAGTTTATAGTCCTGTCATTTAGTGGTCTGGCCTGAAGTAATCATTACTTTGGAAATCATCAGTGTGGAGTAAATTTGGGGCCAAATGAAGGGTGAAAGAGGGGAAGATGGAGGGTTAAAAGATTTCAGTATCAAAATAAGGGGGGTGGGAATTGTATGAGGAATATAACCAAGATGAAAATGCATACATTGAGCAAAAATGAAAAATGATGTAAATATATATATAAAATAAAATTAAAAAAATAAAGAACTGAAAACAAACAAAAAGAACTCAGCTTTAGGTATCCTTCGAGGATGTGATTTTAGAAAAAGAGAACAGAAGGATTATCAGGAGTGTCAAGTATTCAAGTAAAAACATAGTCTGAAGAAGGGTGTGATTAAACTTAATTGAATGATGGATAAACCTAATAATGTGACAAACATTTCTACTTACTTTGGCAATACTGGATTAAAGACCTCAACAAGGGCAGCTTTTTGGTACAAAGGGAACAGATTCTAGATTAGTGTGAACAGAAGAATCAATGGATCATAGAATATGGATATTGAGCTGGAAAGATAGGATAGTAACTTGTTTTTATTGTTTTCAATGCTTCGAAGATTCTAAATATTTAATGGTGATGGCAACACCAAATAATAGAGTAAGTTGAAGTTGCAATGAGGGATGAACAAGGGTATAGTTTCATGAGAAAGTAATCAGGAATGGGATATAAATTTTATTGACCTTTGAAAGAAACAGGAAGTTTTTCCAAAGTACAGAGAAAAATGGAGAATTGAGGTTTAAGTGTATGTGACTTGTCTTCTTGGAAACACAATTTATCATGTTGGAGATACTCTTTTCAATGGAATAAAAGGTAAAATTATTTACTGAGGGTGAGGGAGGAAAGAAGTACAATTAGTTAGGTACTATGTGGTTGTAGGGGAAATAAGCTAAATACAGAACATATGAAAACATTGTTGAACCATGCTAAATAACTTCAGACATTCTGATCATTCCCAATTCTAGCTTTGACTCTTCTCAGGAATCTCAAATAATCATTCATCACTTAGTACCCTATAATAAGGTTCTCTTTCTCATCTATTTCTGTTAGTGTTAAAATCCAAAGCATTGGAATAACAAACCGTAGAGACAGTGACATGTTCACTTACTGACAACCAGTTGCCCAAGTAGAAAAGCACTTTTTTTTAATGGAAGAAATATTTATTAAGTATTAAGTGTAGGTACTGAATCATATTGCCTGACAGAACAATCTATTAAAAAATAAATAGAATTTTAAAGTAGAAATGTACTTGCTGTCTCTTGTGAACCCAGTGGCATGGGAAAGAAGGATTTGCTGTTTTGGTATTATTTGGCAAACAAAAAGCAAATACCTTTATTGCAAAATCCCAGATAAAAAAGTGCTTTTTAACATAATATTTGTCTTTTATACCCATCTTTATATTTAAAGCCATACCACTCACTCTAGCTTAGATGTTTATTCTTTTTTTT